ACTCAATCGCATCTTCCCTGCCTGCTAGGGACAAACATATCGAGCACACACAGTATGCATTCCTTAAACAATCTCCACATTTCTATAGTGCTCTTCCCTGACAGCATCTGTTCCCATTTTATGTTACCCAGTGCTTGCCTAACAGAATTGTAATTACCCTTCCCCCAATTATAAACCTTACCCTGCTGTATGTACCTATCCTTTTCCATGACTATTGTAAAAGTAACAGAGTTATGATCGCTACCGCCAAAATGCTCTCCTACCAACAGGTCTAACCCCTTGCTTGGTTCATTGCCAAGCACCAAATCCAAAGTAGCCTCTCCTCATGTTGGTCTATCTCCATACTGTGTCAGGAATCCTTCCTGAACGCACTGGACAAAATCTGTTCCATCTAAACTATTACAACTAAAAAGTTTCTGATCAACATTTGGAAAGTTGAAGTCACCCAAGACTACAACCCTGTGACTTCTGCACCTTTCCAGTATCTGCCTCCCAATCCGCTCCTCCATTTCTCTGCAACTAATAGGGGGTATGTAAAAAAACCCCAACAAAGTGACTGCTCCTTTCTTGTTCCTGACCTCAACCCAAACTGACTCTGTAGACATATCATTCTCGAACTGCCTTTCAGTAGCTGCTATACTAGCCCTGACTAGCAATGCAACTCCCCCGCCTCTTTTACCACCCTCCCTATTTCTTTTAAAGCATCTAAATCCCGGAACATCCAACAACCATTCCTGTCCCTGAGTTACCCAAGTTTCTGTAGTGGCCACAACATCGTAGTTCCAAGTACTGACCCATGCTCTAAGTTCATCCACCTTATTTCTGATACTTCTAGCATTGAAGTATACTTCAATATATACACTTCAAACCATCCCTGTGACCACAATTATGCTCCATTGACCGCATTTCTTTATTAACAACCTCACTCCCTGTTGTGTCTGTTGGAAGGCTGAATACCTCATCTTCTGAATTCCAAATCCGGTTCCCCACCCCCTGCCAATCTAGTTTAAACCATACCGTATAGTTCGAGCAAACCTCCCTCCCAGGATATTTGTGCCCTTCTAGTTCAGGTGCAACCCTGTACAGGTCCCACCTTCCCCAGAATGTGCTCCAATTATCCACATAATGGAAGCCCTCCCTCCTACACCAGCCCTGTCGCCACCTGTTTAGCTGCACTCTCTCCCTATTTCTTAACTCGTTATCACATGGCACTGGTAGTAATCCAAGAGATAACTACCCTGTTTGTCCTGAACTGCAGCTTCCAACCTAACTCTCTGTACTTGTTTTTCACATTCTCCGTCCTTTTTTAGCCACTGCCAGAATATATGATTTTACCTTCCCAGCAATCCCCTCACGCTCTCTCCTGACTCCCGCCACTGAACAAATGGACGCCGTAGACCCATGAGGTAAGTTTTTTAAACTGAAAAGCTCACCTTCCCAGCAGTCCCCTCGCGCTCTCTCCCAACTCCCGCCACTGAACAAATGAATGAATAGGAAGGATTAAAGGGATATGGGCTAAATGTTGGCAAATGGGACTGAATAATTTGCAAAATATTTGGTCAGCGTGGACGAATGGGACTGAAAGGTCTGTTTCTGTGCTATACAACTCTATGATTCTATATTTGGTTAAATGGCCTATAATTTTCTGCTTTCTGTCTCCCACCATTCTCGAACAAAGGCATCACATTAGTAGTTGTCCAAGCTGTTGAAACCCTTCCATTTTCCAGTGAATTTTGGAATTTTTTGACCAATCCCTCCACTATCTCTCCAGTCACTTCCCATTGGATAAGGGCCATCAGATCCTGGTGACCTGTCTATTATTAGTCCCATTAATTTGTTATATACTTTGACTATCGTGATAGAGACTGCTACAAGAACTTTCCTCTCATTTTCACCTTAGAGACATAGAAGTCTACATTACAGAAGAAGGCCTGCCATCCCATAAGTCTGTCCCAGTCAAATACAAAATACCTAACTATTCTAATCCAATTTTCCAGCACTTATCCCATAGTGTTGTATGCATTGGCATCGCAAGTGCACATCTAAATACTATGTGAATATTATGAGGGTTTCTGGCCCTACCAGCCTTATAGACAGGAATTTCCCACTACCCTCTGGATGTAAAAGATTTTCCTTACATCCCCTCCGAATCTGCTGCTTCTTACCTTAAATCTATGCCTCCTCATCGTTGATCCCTTCACCAAGGGAACAAGTTTCTTCCAGTCTACCCTATCTATGCTCCTCATAATTTTATACATCTAAATCATGAAACCCGTCAGTGTCCTCTGCTTCAAGAAAACCAACCCGTCTATCCAATCCCTTTTCATAACTAAACCTCTCCTGCCCAAGCAACATCCTGGTATATCTCCTCTCCACCTTCTCTAGTGCAATCACATCCCTCCCATAATATGAATTCTATAACTGCACACATTACTCTAGCCGTGGCCTAACCAACATCTTATACAGTTCCAGCATAACCTCCTTGCTCTTAAACTGAATGTCTCAACCAATAAAGGCAGGTATCCCATGTGCCTTCTTAGCCATTTCATCTAACTGCCCCAGCACTTTAAGGGTCCAGTCAATATGCACACTGAGTTCCCTTTCATCCTTGGCACTTACCCGGCTCCTAATGTTCATCATTATTTGTTCTACCCAAGTGCATCACCACATTTATCCATGATTGAATTCCTTTTGCCACTGATCAGGTCATCTGACCAACCTGTCTATATTGCCCTATAATCTGAGACTGTCCTCCTCATTATTTACCACTCTACCAATTTCCGTGTTATCCGCAAATGTACTGATCAACCCTCCTACATTCATATCTAAATTATTTATATATGCCACAAATAGCAAGGGCACCAACACCAATTCCTGTGGAACCCTATTGGACACAGGCTTCCAGATACAAAGACAATCCTTGATTATCACCTTCTGCTTCTTTCCACTCAGTCAATTCTGGATCCAATTCACCAAATTTCCTTGAATTCATGGGCTCTGACCTTTGCTATCAGTCTCCCATCGTGACTTTACAAAAAACCTTGCTGAAATCTAAGTATACCACATCAAATGTATTGCCCTCATCTATACACCTGGTCACCTCTTCAAAAAGTTTAATCATATTGGTTAGATTTAGTCTCCCTTTCAAAAAAAAAACCCATGCTGATCATTTGTGATTAATCCCTGCCTTTCCAAGTGCTAATTAATTCTGTCCCACAGAATTGTTTCCAATAGTTTGTCCACCACTGAGGTTAGCTTCCTGGTTTATCCCTCCTCCCTTCTTGAATAACCTTGCTTATGTGTTATCTTTGGGATGTTCATAGTGTTCTCAACGGTGAAAACTGATACAAAATACTGGTTTAAGTTAGCTGTCATTTCCCTATTCCCCCTTATGAATTGTCCAGTTGCATCCTCCAAAAGTCCCACACTTACTTTATTGCTGTCAACACATCACCTACTCAGCCATCTCGACTCTATTCGATTAATTAATTTGGATGTTAAGTAGTTTAAAGGTGAATTTCTTAACTGTATTCTTCAGTAGTAATGACATCTTCTGATTTAAACTAATTGTCCAATTGAAAGAAGAAGTTACGAAGAAGGTTCACTGGACGTTGGAACTCAAAACCCATAACAGAAATTGCTGGACAAAACTCGGCAGGTCTGGCAGCATCTGTGGAGAGGAACCAGAGTTAATATTTCGGGTCCAGTGACCCTTCTTCAGAACTGAGCTTTGTCTCTATAGATGCTGCCAGATCTGCTGAGTTTTTCTAGCATTTTCTGCTTTTGTGTCCAATTGAAAGACAAAGATGACTGTGACAATGCTGACTCACTGAATACTCCTCCTAATCTGCTTCACAGTGATGCTGACTAGCTACACTTTTTGTGTTATGTGTAACGTTGTCCCATAGCAGAAGAGAAGAGCATCAGTGAGTTTGTTTCAATGTGTTTGGATAATGTGCTGTCATTGCTGATTACCTGGCAATATATGGAAGCTGCAAGATGTGGGTGTGAAGTTAGCATCATTGTTAAGAGTGTGAGAGTGAACTGTAACATCAAAGTGTTAAGCATAAGTCTTGTTTGCTGATGAGTATCTGGCAGGGTGTGAAGCACAGAGTCATGTGACAGTTGCTGATGTAGGAGGTAGAAGATGGTATTTGAAGATGCATTCCCTGACTTTTAGTCACTCATGAGGACACTGTAGTTTTTACTGCACTGTAGCCAAATCCTCAGACCCAGGCTCCTTATATTGATCTTTGTGACTACCTTCTACTATTCCATTTATAATGTATGCCTTGTTGATCCCATCCCACTGTGGAAACGTGACCTTTTCCTGCCTTGCTACTTCCTCTGCTAAGACCACCAACACTACATCTGAGAACTTGGTAACCATCTGTCTTCTGCTCCATTAGAATGTTTATTCCTTCTCTTTAACATGTCTTCAAATACTTCCACTAGCTGCTACAACCAGAATGCACCTCACTTTTAAAATTTGCGAGTTGCCTTTAAGAAATGCAGAGCTGAAACTCATACTAGTCAAGTACATACTGCACTGAGAATGTCACAGTTGACTGTGCACCATTATGATGCTGATAAGCAGGCAGCATGACATTTGCAGTACTATCAATGTTACCTAGATCAGATGCACAGTCATATCATAAGCCCTTCACTCAAAAACCAGTATGATCGAGTTTTCAGTCCTGGGATGAACTTAATGGATTTAAATTCTTTTTTTAATAGTGAAGGTAATGGGATATAATATATGCAAACATCATGGACCTGATGGATTTTGCTGTAGAATATTGAAAATATAAGTGAATAAATTGAAGGTGTGTTTAACCACGATTTTCCAAAAATGAAAGCCATGGAGGTAATATTGTGACATGTTGGTAAATTTATGGGAGTTGGAAACAAAAGTGGAGTGAAAAGGAATGTTCTCTGATTGACAGGATACTAAAACATGTAGACTTAATGGATACTCATTCTTTATTTTCTATCCACAGGCATATGTCACTTGTACAATTGGAATACAATTTGTTGGTTATGTCATGATCTGTTTTGGTGCTTCAAATTCCATTTTCTCTGTGATATTTGGAAAAATGTCAAAATATACTGGGCGAATACCGCTGTTTGCCTTTGGTGAGTTAAGTTGTATTTTAAATCTTAAGGTGACAAAACTCATAGGAATGTTTGAGTCTGTTTTATAAGCTAAGTCAAATATTACTAAGAAACAAACAGCAAAGATTACCTGGCTGTTGCACTTAGCTACAGAAATTATGTTTGTCTTCATTGTTTGAGGACAAAGACTTCGAGAAAAAGCATCTGGAATGAAAGGGAGGAGGTTCTGCAACATCGCTATCATGAGGGAGTAGCATTTATAACCGCCTGGGCAGACAAAAAAATCCAGCAAGAAGAGGAACAGCATGAAGAGAAGGAGCAGGAGTGGCATTAATCACCAAGTCCTAACTGACAAAGGACAGTTTACTGAAGATTACATCATCTGGATCATTTCTCTCACCCACATAACAGCTACAGTTGAACAATCCTGATCATTACTATTCATACTGTCATCTTATAATCTTTCAGTGTAGTCTTGCCCTCACTTTACTATGATTTTAACATGCTGCTGCACACCATAAGAATAGGCCTATTTATGCAATGTGGCCCAGCTTTAGAGCAGAATATTGTAAGATGAAAGGAATGACACAAATGATGCAATCTTCAGTAAACTGTCCTTTAGAAGAAAGGGAGCTGATGATTGATGCCACACCTGTTTTTGCTTGCCTTCATGCTACTCCTCCTTCTGCAAGACTTCTTTTTGTCTAATAGGTTGTGAAGAGCTGGATCCTCATGACAGCAATGTTATAGATTATGCTTTTTCTCATGGTGCTTTTTTTTTGTGGTCCTCATCATCAATCCACAAATACAATCCTACATGACTGGCAACTTTAGCATAAATGTTGTAAAGGCAGCCAAAAGCACCGTAGCACTGGACACAAAGGAATAAGTTTTTACATTTTAAAAACACACAAAAATTGTGGGAACATAAGCAGCAGCCTGAAAGAGCAAATAAGCACCTAATCTGTATGTAATGAATGAGCCCTTTGAAAATGCTGCTGAAGAATTCCCTTCTGCCTATGTGAACTTTCTCAGCATAAAATCAGGCTTGGGGCAAGCCAAGTTCACAAAAGTGTTCTACAACAGTATTTACACTTGTACCACTGAGCTAGGAGACCCCAGTTTGAGTCCCACCTACACCAGAGGTACTGTCACTTCCTTTGAGCCAAAGGTCCTGGAATCATGTCCCACCTGCTCCAGAGGTGTGCTCTTGAAGGAATGATTTACCTAATGCTACCTCCCAGTCTTTTCCACATAGCCCTGCACACTCTTCCTTTATGAGAGCAATCCAATACTCTCTTAAATGCCTTAGTTGAACCTGCCTTTTCCATACTCTCAGGCAACATGTTCTAGATCCTAACCTCTTGTTGCTGATAATTTTTTCCTCATATCACTTTCGCTTTTATTATCAGTGTGGATAGTTCTTCCCAATTTATTTTGGCCACATCCATTTTGGTTTTGAATATCTTCATCAAATCTTTTCTCAATTTTCTCTTCAAGTAAAGCACACCTGACTTCTCCAGTCTATCCACGTAGCCTGGGCTCTTCACCCTAATAATAAATAAAATAAAATAAAATCAATCCTAGAAAGATTCTTTTGAATCTTTTCTGCACTATCTTCAAGCTTTTCACATTCTGCCTAAAGTGTGGTATTCAGAACCGGAATACAATACTCCAGTTATGAGCAAACTAGTGTCTTATACATAAACTCCATGCGCTTATACTCTATGCCCTTAATTGTAAAGCTAGGATATTGTATGCTGTAGTAATCATTTTTTCAGTCTGTCCTGCTACATTCAATGACTTATACACATATACACCAGGTTCCTCTGCTCCTGCAGCCCCTTTAGAATTACACATTTTATTTTATGTTGTCTCTTTGAGTTGTTTCTACTGAAGTGAATCACTCCACACTTCCCTCCATTAAATTTCATTTGTGGCTTCTTGTCAGTCATATATTCCACTGCTCTCTTTTCTCCTGGTTCCCCTGCTCTCCCTGCTCTCTTCACTGTTTCCTCCCACTTCTGCTCCCCCTAACTCTCACTGCAGCTCCTTTCATTACAGGATGAGAACAATGTAGCTAGCAGATGACTGAGATGAGAGAAGGTGGGAGACCACAGTGAAGACAGCCTTAGACAGAGTGAGGCAAAGTGGAAGAGGTAAATAGAGTGGAGGAAACTGCTGCAGATAAAATAGATGAACTGGCCATTTTCTGCAAAACAGGTAAATGTGATGGAAGAACTTTTTTGTTGAAACAGAATGCAATTAACGTCTGGAATGTACTGCCTAGCAGTGTGGTGGAGGCAGCTTCAACCAAGACATAGAAGAAGACATTAGTTGATGTTTTGAATAGAAATAGTTTGAAGGTTTCCAGGCAAAGACATGGGAATGTCCTAATGGTCAATCAGAGAGCTTGTGCAGACATGATGGGCTAAGTGGCCTCACTCAATACAGTAACAATTCTCTGACTCTGTGAAGGACTCTGTAAAGAATATGAAGGAGCAGTTAACAGAGTGAGGTAAATGATAGGGAGTGGTAAAAAGTGTGGTGCGGAAGGGAGCAGCAATAGGAGGCTGATATGCAGGGGATAGACAAACTGGGCAGGTGGAAGTGGTGCAGAGAATGGCAAGAAGCAAGGACAGTGTGTCCGTCCTTTTCTATCATGGATTTGCACTATTTTTGGTGCCAATAGTCACCTGTGATGTTATCTGTGATGCCTCATACTGCAATTTCACATGTGGAGAGTGCAGTTGAAGGATTAGCTTTGATTTTAAAGGGGGTGTTAAACTATGATTATTAGTTGTTCAACTCTTTTGACAATGTTGAAGCATTTCAAAAGTAGAGTAAGTTATGGCTTGGTACACATTACGGCATATAGTCGCAAGCCCATTATGATGTGCTAAGAAGATTAACTGCAAGTTTTGTACAATAATGTGGAACCATATTTATTTATTTCATGTCACAGCAACCATCACGAATCTTGCATCAATAACGGCATTGTTTTTATGGAATCCACGACCAGAACAAATGCCAGTGTTTTTTGTGTTCCCTTCTCTTTGGGGAATGGCTGATGCTATTTGGCAGACACAGACCAATGGTATGTTGACAATAATAAGTGACAAGATAATATAATTGCTAATTTTAGATCTTTATTTTAATATTGTATCTAAATAACTGTAGCAACACTATAAGAAAGTTAATGGAGTAGATTGTATTCCATTTTCCCACCATAGGCAATACAACGTAAGCTTTCATCAATTGGAAATGTTAAAGAAATATATATAATAATCACTGTTCACATTAGTTTACTCACTGTTTCAGTGCAACACACCCACCTCAACATCAGCAACATGGGCTGTGCAGCTGCCAACTAGTCAGCTTCATTATCTCTTGTCCAGCTGGAGTCATGCCGCAGATGGGGCACATCTGTTTGTCTATCTCCTTTCTCTCTTCTGCAAACATGGAAATACAAGTTGTAACTGCCCATTATAGTTTGATACATGCCTATTCTGGTGGAAGCTTTAATTTTGCTGCAATCAGACATTCACACTGCAGTAGTCAATTATAATTGACGAATGTCCTTCATTGATAGGGTATTTTTCTGATTCTGAATGTTGGTGCCTGAGAAAGGTCAATGATTGAGTGGGCATCCTCTGCTCATATTTCAAGAGAACCTTTTGTGGCATTCAAATCTGGGAGCTAAATGTTATACTCACCACTCAACTTTCCTGGTCACATCAGGTCATTAATTCTCTTCCGACAATGCTACCATGTTTGTGGGATCAACTTCCCTGATAGTCCTCAATCGTGCCCTCTTGGACTGCTTTACAGGTCTCTTCCAGTACTCATAAGGATGCCCCCCTCTCTTTGAACCAGGGCCTTCACCGAACCTGGGCACTTCCTGTTTTGTAAATGTTTCTATTACACTGTTGTTAGGACTTCTTCATCTTCTAATTGTGCTGTCTTCTCTTTAAATTTGGCACCTGTAGGTTATTGCGAGTACTATAGTGATAGTGTGCATACCTCTGAGCCAAGAGGCCTGGGTTCACATCCCACCTGCTCTAGAGGTGTGTAATAACATCCCTAACAGGATAATTAGAAAATATCTATCCAACCAGCTGTTAATTATATAGTGACAATAAAATTGTGTTTCCTCTACTGCCACTAATTTGCAGTCATGCCATTCACTTTGCATCCAAAAACTGCATCTCCCTTTCTGGTAGAATTTCACACATTGATAAAGAAAGTAACCTTTGGTAAAGCAACCTAAGGTAAAGAAACCAAATTTGCACAAAAGTGTTGTGTTACCCATGTTTATACAACAGAAAATGCTGGGAATATTCAATAAATCCGGCAGTATCTATTGAGAGAGAATCAGAGTTACTGACAGAATTCACTGGCCCATAGGAAATGGCAAAGTGTTGAGGGTGGCTGTTTAATCAGGTGAGAGGTGTGGGATATAGAGCTTGACTCAATATTCCTGACTCAGCCAATTAAGTCAGGGTCAGGAAAGTAGCCAAGCAAAGCCTTATCCTCCCTTATACCACATGGTGGACCCTGTTGACAGTAAGGACCATTCCTGTCCCACAGGGAACATTCCCCTGTCCTCTCCACTGAAACCACCCTCTCTTGTGCTATGGCCTGCTAGACTGGCCTTGATGACAAGCCGTCCCAATTAGTTTTTCTGTCAGTTTCCAGTGCTGGTTCTCATACTGGGCCTACTGCTACGTTCCCCTTTTCTGACTGACTGACCGCACTCTGCCTCCAAAGACTTAGAGCCACAAAGACACACATGCTAGGCTCTGTTTGCGACTTCCCAGCCAATGAATAGAGTCACCATCACGGCTATTAAATTCACCCAACCTTTCACTTATGTGACCTTTCTTCAGAATTTTAGAAATGTTATAGGTATTAAGCAAGTGAAAGAACAAAGAGAAACTTCTGTAATAAGATGAACAGTATGAAATGAAACAGAGTTTTACTATGCAAGGCCATAGTGACAAATAAGGAAGCAATAGGCCTTTTATCCGGAAAAAGTGTGATTGACAGAATCCTGAAGAGCTGGCATCTGAACATAAAGGAAAGGTATGAAAGGAGAATCAAGATTAAAGAAAACAAACAAGGAAACAGGGAATAAAATTGCAAGAGTTCATGATCTAAAACCATTGAACTGCATATTGAGTCTAGAAGGCTCTTGAGTGCCCAGTTAATCCATGAGGTGCTATTGTTTGAGCTTGACAGTTTTTTCACATTGCAGTATGTGCAGCCTTATTCTAGCATTCAAAGTTCCAGAATCACAAATGGCTAATTTGATAGCTGTTGTCAAACAGTAAGTATGTAAAGTAAGAGTGTACAAGTGTACTTGAGGTGCTAGGAGGGTAGGATAGTGTGTCAGGAAAGTAGGGTGCAGCTGGGTAGAGAGTAGGATGCCATGTTGCTGGATGCCAAATAGATAGGAGAGTAGGGTGCCAGATGGATAAAATGGCATGTTGGTAAAAGGTGAAGTGCCAGGAGGAGGGAACAGATGGGTAGCATACCACATTGATAGCTGAGAGAGTGGATCTGGAGAGGGGGAAGTTTGGAGGTGGTAATTTCGAAGTGGTGGAAGGAGTTATTAGGTCCAGAGCAAGGGGAGTGGATCTGGAATGGGATAGTTGTATCGCATTCTGGGTGGAGAGAGAGGGGCATCAGGTCAGGGTCAGAAGGTTTAAGGTTGGAGAGAGATGAAATTGGGGTTGTGAGAGCTAAGTATGTGGTCAATTGAATAAATACTTAGGAGTTAAGATTATGTATTTAATAGTATAACTCTTCCTGAGCAATTATTTACTTGATTTCATCAGAAATGTCTTGAATTCTCTGATTTAGGACACTTCGAGGTCTAGGGGAATTGTCCAGCAGAATCTTCAACTTCCTGGACAATTCCTTCAGTGTCTTCTACAACAGGTATTCATATAGATCCCAACCGCAACACCCATCTACGCTGGTCATTAGATAATCTGGGCCATTACTTTTAACCGACAATATAAACACCAATGCCAGCCTGGTTCCTTTTTTAAAATATTTCTAATGGTGCAATGAGGTGCATCCCCAGAGTCTGCAGATGATTTATAGTCAGGTTGCTGATTTCCACGCCCCTCGTCCTTTGACCATGGTAGGCATTTGTTAAACAGCAGCAGACCTGGAGGGCCCAGAGCAACTAGAGGATACCTGAGTCACTACAAGAGCCTGTTCTGAGGACATTGCTGCTGGAGGACTTTGGGTCATTGGCAGAGGGAATTGGAATCTCCTGGTAATCCTTAGGGTGCCTTGAGAGGAACTCTCAAGTGTGACAGGCTGCATCTTCTCACTCCTTTGTCTCTCTGCTTTCTATCAATGGAGGTTTTCCTGGAGGGCTGACAAAAGGTACTATTCATCTCTCACTGTCCCACTGCTTCAGTCAGTGATGATCTACAGGTTTGTGCTGATGCCAAACATGCACTGAATAGTCTGTTGGATTAAGATCACCAAACTCTCCATGGATGAAGTAAAGCATTCATCCACCTGGCACATGAGGTCACGGTCTGAATGGATTCCTTCATCACCCATATTGCTATGGTAGCTCCACATCTTGAGCCCCTGCTTTCTTGTGCATCTCCAATAGGTTTTGTATAGTTGTGACCAAAGTCCCTTCATCAGCCTGGTACACAGCATGGACCTGACCTCCAACCATCCTCCAACAGTCTATAATTTTGACTGCCATAGCCGTCTATAACTGTGTCCTATGAGATGCTCACAAGCGCATGAACCGGAGTCAATTCATCAATGTATGCAATGAGAGAGATGTGATGCTTTGCATCTCTGACAAGTAGACATTTTCATTCTGAGAGAAGATACAAGATACTCTGTAAGTGGGTCATCTCAAGTCCCTGTTGCAATCACAAGGAAAAATGCAGACAATTGGTCCCATTAATATTGAATGCACTGCTCCAGTCTGCAGGTGCCGTGCACTACTGTTACAGAATTGAAAGTAAAACACTAATCCTCCTCACTTTCCATGCTAATCTCATTGAGAACATGGACTGAGTGCACAAATAACTGGCATTCCTCCACCAGTCTTTACGCTTAACCACCTATTGAGCATTCTTTTCTTTTGTAAATACAAGGGAACAGTGTGTTTTGCTCCAGGTGGCATTGAGAAGAACTATTTATCACTGGACTGTCACTAGTCCCATTAAGGTAGCTAAATCTATATATCTCTCTATTAAGACTGCCATGGGAGATGCATGAGGTAGAGAGTGAGATATGGATGTCTGTGACCCATGTGCAGCTTTTACGCCTAAGCCAGTTGATGAGGGGAAACAGTGTACCCATCAATGCCCATCTAATCCCTTGTAAATTGATTGACGCCTTTGTAGCCTCCACCCTTATATCCAATGTTTGCACATCATTTATTCAGACTCACTCAGACAGTCTCACTCTTAGGGTTTGGAGTTGGCAATTCATCCTCTCTCTATACTGAACCCATCTTGCTCCTGGATCACATGATTGCTCACCTCTGCTGTGACTTCTGTCCAGACATCTGTGGTTAGCTAAGAGAGCCAGGATAAATACATCTCACCATTCACAGACTGATTGGAGGAAGTCACACAGCAAATAATTTCTAAACTGCAGGGCTATCTTTTGATTGCCCTTTTGATCTCCTCTTTCTGGATGGATTTAGAATTCAGATTCTAGCTCTGGTTTCCCCTTTTCTGCAAAGACTTTTCATTAAATGTGAATGCTGGCGTCAACTTGGAACTTACAGGGAAACTATCATGGAAACACTCCAGAAGCCTTGAAAGAGTGAAGACAAGGCTAACTTCCATTTAATAATCATCAAATCACAGATATAGTACAGTAGAGAAAGAGGCCATTACACCCATTGTGACTGCATTAGCTCTCTGAAGGAGCAAGCTCTCCAGTGCTACTCCCCAGTCTTCTTCAAGTAGCCCTGCACATTCGTCCTTTTCAGATAACAATACAATTCCCCCTTAAATGCCTCAAATGAACTTGCCTCAATCATACTTTCAAGCGTGGCATCATGGAACCTTTGACAAATATGTGTTGGCTTTCCTTAATTAATCCCTATTCACCCAAGTGACTACTGTATTAATTTTGATCCCAATTTAACTACTAGAACCTTCCCAACCACTGCAGTGCTCATGAGGGTGAATTGACTGGACTATTGTTCCTTGGACTATTATTATCTTTGCATCCTCTTTTGAAAATGCAATTCCCCAGTTCTCTGGCAGTACCGCTGAGTCTAAGGAAACTCAAAAGTTATGGCCAGCACCTACACAATTTCCACTGCCATTCTCCTTACTGTCCTTGGGTGCATCTCATCAGGGCGAGTACTTTATCAGCTTTAAGTACAGACAGACAATTCAAAACCACCTCATCAATTCAGCTATAGATAACAAGGTGTAGAGCTGGATGAACACAACAGGCCAAGCAGCATCAGAGGAGCAGGAAAGCTGACGTTTCGGGTCGAGACCCTTCTTCAGAAATGGGGGAGGGGAAGGGGATTCTGAAATAAATAGGGAGTGAGGGGGAGGCGGATAGAAGATGGATAATGGAGAATATAGGTGGAGAGGAGACAGACAGCTCAAAGAGGTGGGGTTGGAGCCAGTAAAGGTGAATGTAGGTGGGAGTTAGGGAGGGGATAGGTCGGTTCAGGGAGGACGGACAGGTCAAGGAGGTGGGATAAGGCAAGTGGCTAGGAGATGGGGGTGGGGCTTGAGGTGGGAGGAATGGTTAGGGAGGCGGGGACGAGCTGGGCTGGTTTTGGGATGTGGTCGGGGGAGGGGAGATTTTGAAGCTCCAACACACCCCCTCCTCCTGGACACCACCCTAAGGCCTCCTACCCTCCCTCGACCTCTTCATCTCCAACTGCCATCGCGACATTGATCGCCTCAACCTCTCCACCCCTCTCACCCACTCCAACCTCTCCCCCATAGAACGTGCAGCCCTCCGCTCCAACCCCAACCTCACCATAAAACCCACGGACAAGGGAGGCGCAGTTGTAGTATGGTGCAGTGACCTCTACATCGCCAAGGCTAGGCGCCAGCTCCCTGACACCTTCTCCTACCGCCCCCTTGATCATGACTCCACCCCCAACCACCAAAACATCATCTCCCAAACCATCCACAACCTCATCACTTCAGGTGGCCTCCCATCCACAGCCTCCAACCTCATCGGTCCCCAACCCCGCACCGCCCGCTTCTATCTCCTTCCCAAAATCCACAAACCTGACTGCCCTGGTCAACCCATTGTCTCCGCCTGCTCCTGCCCCATCAAACTCATCTCCACTTATCTCGAATCCATTTTCTCCCCCTAGGTCCAGGAACTCCCCACCTACGTCCGTGACACCACCCACGCCCTCCACCTCCTCCAAAACTTCAGATTCCCTGGTCCCTAACACCTCACCTTTACCATGGACGTCCAGTCCCTATACACTTGCATTCCCCATGCAGATGGCCTAAAGGCCCTCCGCTTCTTCCTGTCCCGCAGGCCCAACGAGTCCCCCTCCACTGACACCCTCATCCGCTTAGCTGAACTCGTCCTCACCCTTAACAACTTCTCCTTCAATTCCTCCCACTTCCTACAGACAAAGGGGGTGGCCATGGGTACCCGCATGGGCCCAAGCTATGCCTGCCTCTTTGTAGGATACGTGGAACAATCCCTCTTCCAAAGCTACACTGGCTCTATCCCCCACCTCTTCCTCCGTTACATCCCCTTCCTCCCATGAAGAGCTCGAACAGTTCATCCACTTCACTAACACCTTCCACCTCAACCTTAAGTTCACCTGGAGCATCTCTGATACCTCTCTCTCCTTCCTGGACCTCTCTGTCTCCATCTCTGGTGTCTACCTGGAAACCGATATCCATTTCAAGCCTACCGACTCCCACAGCTACCTAGAATACACCTCCTCTCACCCACTTTGCTGCAAAAAGGCCATCCCCTATTCCCAATTCCTTCGCCTCTGCCGCATCTGCTCCCGAGCTGAGGCATTCCACTCCCGGACATCCCAAATGTCCTCGTTTTTCAAGGACTACAACTTTCCCTCCACAGTGGTCGAAAACGCCGTTGACTGTGTCTCTCGCATTTCCCGCAACTCATCCCTCACACCCCCTACCTGCAATAACAACCAAAACAGAATCCCCCTCGTCCTCACATACCACCCCACCAACCTGCGGATCCAACACATCATCCTCCGACACTTCCGCCATCTGCAATCTGACCCCACTACCAAAGACATTTTTCCCTCCCCACCCTTATCTGCTTTCCGGAGGGACCACTCTCTCCG